GGGCGGGGAGGCCACTGGGGCTGCCCCCTCCGGTGCTGGGGGGCAGCATCCCGGGTCCTGTGGTGGGGCGGAGGCAGCCGCAGGCCCAGTGGCCGTGTGTGGGCTTTAAGTGGTGCCACGGCTGGGTCTCTCCCCGCCCCTCTTCTCTCCAGGCTCCAGAATCTGATCTCTGCCTCCATGCGGGCTAAGATCACCGCCTACGTCCTGGCCCTCACCCTGCACGTGAACAACTTCCAGGCAGACCTGACTGTGCTGCAGCGGGACATGAAACTCCACGAGAACAAGTGAGTGACGTTCCCGTCGGGCTGTTGGGAGACGGGGTGGCCGGGGGTGCTCGTGCTGTTTGGCGCGGCGGTGGGGGATGGGTTTGCGTGGCACCGATTGGAGCCCATGTTTCAAGGGGGAGTAAACAGCCTTTGGAAAGGTCCCGCTGCCGGCTGCGCACCGCGAGCCACAGTCCATCCTGGGGGACCAGTGAGCCCGGGGAAGGCAGAAAAGCAGCAATCGGAGCAGGGAAGAGCTGCTGCTCTAGTCCGCCGCGAGCGGCCGTGTTCCTGGAGACACCGGTGCCCCCGTCTGTCCTCCCTCCCCCACGCATCACTTACCTGCGCCCTCCCCGAGCTGGAATGCTGCCAACAGCTGGCTTGTGGGGGTCCGGCTCCGGGAGGAAGAGGAGCGGGACAGAAGGGAGAAGGGCAGGGCCCTAGGGCATGGGGTGGGGCAGCCAAGGGACCCTGGAGCTGCTGGTGACATCCCAGTGGGCTACAGGGTGCCCACCTCTGCCCTGGAGCTCTTACCATGCCAAGCACCATCATCTGGCTGCTCCCATGCGCCGCAGGGAGAGAGACTGGCTGGGCTAAGGGCTTTGCATCCCCGCCGCAGAAGCTCCTGTTCTCGTGTTCTCAGCCCCCGTGCCGGCCGAGCGCTTGCAGCCTGTCCCTGCGGGGCTGGCACTCAGCTGGGCTCTTCCGCCTGGCCGCCCGCAGGGCGATGGACACACGACTGCCCCCCCCAGCCGCTGGGGCCCTGCGGAGGCCTGTGGGCCCCCCTCCCCGGGGAGACGCCCCATTGCTGGGCTCCAGGGGCCCTGCGGAGGCCTGTGGGCCCCCCTCCCCGGGGAGACGCCCCATTGCTGGGCTCCAGGGGCCCTGCGGAGGCCTGTGGGCCCCCCTCCCCGGGGAGACGCCCCATTGCTGGGCTCCAGGGGCCCTGCGGAGGCCTGTGGGCCCCCCTCCCCGGGGAGACGCCCCATTGCTGGGCTCCAGGGGCCCTGCGGAGGCCTGTGGGCCCCCCTCCCCGGGGAGACGCCCCATTGCTGGGCTCCAGGGGCCCTGCGGAGGCCTGTGGGCCCCCCTCCCCGGGGAGACGCCCCATTGCTGGGCTCCAGGGGCCCTGCGGAGGCCTGTGGGCCCCCCTCCCCGGGGAGACGCCCCATTGCTGGGCTCCAGGGGCCCTGCGGAGGCCTGTGGGCCCCCCTCCCCGGGGAGACGCCCCATTGCTGGGCTCCAGGGGCCCTGCGGAGGCCTGTGGGCCCCCCTCCCCGGGGAGACGCCCCATTGCTGGGCTCCAGGGGCCCTGCGGAGGCCTGTGGGCCCCCCTCCCCGGGGAGACGCCCCATTGCTGGGCTCCAGGGGCCCTGCGGAGGCCTGTGGGCCCCCCTCCCCGGGGAGACGCCCCATTGCTGGGCTCCAGGGGCCCTGCGGAGGCCTGTGGGCCCCCCTCCCCGGGGAGACGCCCCATTGCTGGGCTCCAGGGGCCCTGCGGAGGCCTGTGGGCCCCCCTCCCCGGGGAGACGCCCCATTGCTGGGCTCCAGGGGCCCTGCGGAGGCCTGATTGGGCCCCCCTCCCCGGGGAGACGCCCCATTGCTGGGCTCCAGGGGCCCTGCGGAGGCCTGTGGGCCCCCCTCCCCGGGGAGACGCCCCATTGCTGGGCTCCAGGGGCCCTGCGGAGGCCTGTGGGCCCCCCTCCCCGGGGAGACGCCCCATTGCTGGGCTCCAGGGGCCCTGCGGAGGCCTGTGGGCCCCCCTCCCCGGGGAGACGCCCCATTGCTGGGCTCCAGGGGCCCTGCGGAGGCCTGTGGGCCCCCCTCCCCGGGGAGACGCCCCATTGCTGGGCTCCAGGGGCCCTGCGGAGGCCTGTGGGCCCCCCTCCCCGGGGAGACGCCCCATTGCTGGGCTCCAGGGGCCCTGCGGAGGCCTGTGGGCCCCCCTCCCCGGGGAGACGCCCCATTGCTGGGCTCCTGGGGCTCTGCGGAGGCCTGATGGGCGGTTGTTGTTGCCAGGGTGCTGGGGATCGCCAGGGCCATGCGGCTGAAGGTCTCCAAGAGGAAGGGCCCTGCAGACCTGCTGGCCGAGGAGGAGCACAAGCTGGCCACGCTCTCGCTGCCCTTGCCGGTGTACAGGCCCCCCGGGGGCAAGCGGCGGAAGATGAAGTGAAGCCGACGGCGCCCATCTCCCCGCGGGGAACGCCTGCTCCGGTTCCTGGCCCCGTGCCCACGGCTGAGCCCCTGGGAACGGGGTGGGGCTGGGCTGCTGTTCCTCTGTCCCCGCCCTTTGGGAATAAACCCGCGCCCGCCAGGGAGACAGGGCCCGCTGCTCTCGCGCTTCCTTTGCGCCGTGATCCCTTGTCGCCCATGGGGGCTGGGAAAGAAGGGGGATGGGCCGGGGTGCCCTATGGCAGCGGTTCCCAAGCTCTGGGCGGGGCCTGGTGCCCCGGTTCCCCTGCCTGGGGCTGCCGTCCCGGTGCAGGTCACTGCTGGGGCTGCTGCAAGCCAGGCCTCGGCTGGGCCGGGGGCAGGC